ATTGGAATTCAATAGGATGACCATGAAAGACCCTGGGGCATCTCAGTACTACTGCCCCTCCTCCTCTGGGAACCAGGAACCTGATAATCACCCAAGCATTTCCCAGGTACTTTTCATCCCTCTGCGGATTTTCTTCAATAAACCCAGTTCCTGGAATTGGGGCAAAATGACCTGCAGATGACCTGCAGATGTTCCTCCTTGCTCAACCAACCCAGCAACCACGATGGCATTGACCAATTACAGTTAGCTGACCATTAAATGAGTTAGTCACAATAGTTGACAAACGACTCCTGGATTCCCCCTTTGCTTCTGCGGTTTTTTCCTTTAAAAGTAGCCTGTAACAGCCACCCGGGGTTCTTCTCCTCCCGAGGCTGAGGGGCCCTGTCGCCCCGCAGTAAATAAAATTCCTCTTGGTTTTGCAGCAACTGTGGTGTGAGAGTGGTCTCTTGGGGCGACCCCTCCTTGGTAAGTGGGCTTTAGGGTTCAACAACCAAAGAAGTGGTGACCTGTGAGGACACTTCCAGACAGAGGGAACAGAAGGCGCAAAGCAGAAGCATCCAGAGAACGAGAGCAGTGTTACTGGAGCCAACGGAAGAAGCCCTGAGGTTAGGTGAGAAAGGTATTTGGGTGTACCGGGAGATTTATGATGTGAGTTTGCAGCCTCCTGAGAGGGAGAAGGGAAGCTGTTAAACATCTTGTCACTGGTTTCCTCTGGATCAACTGCAGGATAATGGTACAATTGTGCTGGCAGTTAGAGTCTGAGAACAGTTCTTTTGTTACTGTTTTTTTACTAGCATGCTGAAGTCACACTGTGGGGGGTTGAGACTGAAAGAAGACAAGGCTGTCATTACCCTGGCCCCTGGGATTTGGGGACAGCTTTGCCACAGACTGCCGTCTCAGCCTCGAGAAGAGAGTTCCCCAAGACTCTAGAAGAGGACCTAGGATATACCAAATAATGATCTTTCTTTAAAGATGCTAAGAACTAAAGGTGCAAATGAGCTCCACGGGAACCAGTGAACACTCCTAGGAGCCAGACTCCCTGCACCAGGCTAGTCAACCACTAGGTGGCACTGGGAGAGGGGTGAGGCTTAGGTGCCTTCTTTATTTCCTTCCAGCTGGGCCTCTGGCCTGAGCAAAGTGCCCCCCCCCCCCCCCCGCCGAACCTCAGAATGTGGCATTATTTAGATTATTTTTTTTCCCTCGAGACAGGGTTTCTCTGTAGCTTTGAAGTCCTGTTTTGGAGCTCTTGTAAACCAGGCTGGTCTCGAACTCACAGATATCCGCCTGCAGGAGTGCACCACCACCGCCCGGCTATTTAAGAGTCTTTTACCAAGTCAAAAATGAGGTCCTTGGGGTGTGCCCTAATCCCACACGGCTGGTGTCTATATAAGCCAAGGTGAAGTTTGAACACAAAGGGAGAACAGCCACGAACGCTGGGGCCAAGCTGCCGTCAGCCACGGGTCTTCTGGAAGCAAAGTAGTCTGCGGAGAGGTTTCCTTTGCAACCTTTGGGAACAGCCAAGTGTTACCGGAATTTTATCTATGATGTGCCGGTTGTCCAATTAGAGTCAGACGTTGGTTCAGGAAGCGGGGCTTACAGTAAGCCTGACAGGATGGATCATAGAGTTTCCCAGGACTCCAGAGAGAGCCCCACTCCCACACCCTAGAAGGGGAGGCGAGGCCGGAAGGCTGTACGGAGCCCTTCGAAGCTAAGGGTGGTTGGTGTGTGCTGGCCAAGGTGATTGTCCCATCTTTATATTTGTCCCCGAATTTTATAATAAACAGTAAAATAAATCGCTATAGCCCTGTCAACCTGGAGAAGTAGGATTCCCAGCTTCCAGAACCGAGACGCTTCTTACATAAACCTCCTCACGGGCGGGGGGGGGGGGGGGG